TAGAACTGGATATGGAACAACTGATTGGTTCCAAATTGGGAAAGGAGTACGACAAGGCTGTATATTGTCCCCTGGCTTATTTAACTTATATGCAGAATACATCATGCGGAAGGCTGGACTGGATGAACCCCAAGCCAGAATTAAGATTTCCGGAAGAAATATCAACAACCTCCGATATGCAGATGATACCACTCTGATGGCAGAAAGTGAAGAGGAATTAAAGAACCTCTTAATGAAGGTGAAAGAGGAGGGCACAAAAACGGTCTGAAACTCAACATCAAAAAAACTAAGATCATGGCCACTGGTCCCATCACCTCCCGGCAAATAGAAAGGGAAGATATGGAGGTAGTGACAGATTCTACTTTCTTGGGCTGATGGTATTACCTATATTCGTATTCCTATTTCAGAATATCCCAATAATAATAAATAACAAACCATTTCAAATTTTATGTGGGAGGGGAGGAAACCATGAAATACTTGCAAGATGACAAGAAGAGAGGAGGATGGGGGTCTCCCAAACCTCCAATTATATTATGAAGCGGGGGTCGTCCTGTATAAATCTCCCAGAATCCCACAACCAACATGATCTGTAATGGAAATTCTGGGTGATGCAAAAAAGTAACTTTTTGAAGCTCTGACCAAGGCACATCCTTGTTCTTCTTAAACCCCCCCACCGCCGCCACCACCCATTTGTAGCATCACTTCTCTTGGCGACTCACTTGCACTCCTTCTGCTGGATGCAGTCAAACCCATCATACAGGCAGTCCTCGTTGTTGCAATGCGTCTGGCAGCGGTCATCCCGAAAAGCCATCCGACACATCTCCTTCTTCGGGCAGCCCTCCCAAGGGTCGAGTAACCCCAACGAACAGTCCCCCGCATCCCAGTTGGTCTCAGGGGAGCTGCAGGCTCGGTCACAACGCCCATTTCCGGCCACCTCCTGGCATTTTAAAGTTGGGGTGAAGTTGGTTGGAGGGCAGAGACCCGGGGAGCATGGAGGCTGGCGGCATTCTGGCCCAGAGAACCCCCCCAGGCAGAGGCATCGAAGTCCAGACGGGTGGGCGATACAAACGCCACCGTTGTAGCAATAGAGAGACCCACAAGGAGGCAGGGGCAGGTCACAGGTGGCTCCATCATAACCCTAGAGAGGAATAGGGGAGGAATAAGGGTTTTTTTCATGAGTTGTTTTTAATTTGCCAGATCTCTGGAGTTAGAATTTCTTCTGTCTATATCTGAAGAAGGTTGGGGACAACTGATCCCAAGGATTCTTAGCATAGTTTGCAGAGTGTAAGACAGGGAGAGGGCTGTGGCTGAGCAACAGAATAGACGCCTTCATTATAGGAAGATCTCAAGGTAAATCCCTGCCATTTGTACACAGGATGACAAAATATTCCCAACCTAAGAGAATCACTGCTAATCAGAGCATGACAATAGTAGAGCATGAACATATTCTCTGACTGAAAGAGACCCAGGGGCTAAGACAGACCTTGAATCACAAAGGAGGAAAGGATAGATATTTCTTGTCTTTGTGCAGCAAACCTTTTTTTCCGTCATGGGGAGCGGCAGGTCTGCGAGAGGATCCATGGGATCCTGCAAACCATCCTAAAATATATATTGTAATTAAGCATTTATATTTTATTATTTGTTTATTTAAAGTATTTTTGCCCTGCCTTTCTCCTTAGAAGGACCCAAGTAGCTTACATCATGAAAAGACAATAACCAGGAGCTAAAAACAGTGAGTATACAAATATTTAAAAAGAATCAAACAAATACCACAATAAAAATGGCAAACAAAACCAACATAAAAAACACATTCAAAAGCAACAAGGCTCCATTTAAAAACCCCTCTTGGAGAGCTAATCACCAAAGGAAAGCCTATCTGAAGAGAAAGATCTTCATCTGCTGATGGAAGAACAGCAAAGATGGGGCCAGTCTGGCTTCTTGTGGGAGGGAGTTCCAGAGTCTTGGACCAGCCACAGAGAAGGCCCTGTCCTGTGTTGCCATCTGACTGCACCTTGTAGAATCCCCAGCCTCCATGGCCATGTCTTCCATAAAAAACAAAATTCCCAAATACTGGTCAGCTGGCGAGAGCAACAGCATTTGTGGTCTGACTTAACCAGAAGGCATCCATGGGGAAAAAGGTTGGCAGAAACCACATTGCACAAAATGGGGCCAGTGTTCTGCCTTGAAATAAGTCACACTTTTCACAATCACAGATGTGCCTATCAATTAAAGGTTTTCAAAATTTCAGATTTCGGGTCCGATGACATCAAAGCATGTTCAGAAATCAGTTTCCATCTCTCCCCATGAGCTGGCTACAGTCCTTGTAATTGGGCTGTACTTGTTCCATGCATACCTGTGCACAGTGGCAGGTGAATTCCAGAGGGTTCCCAGGAATCGTGCTGCCGCTGGCACCCTTGAG